CAGAGTGCCCCATGTCTTACTCTAGAAATAGTTGCTCATTTGTGTTCACCCCTGTTCTCCTCACAGTACCCAGGAAATGGAGACACCTGGATGCCCAGTGTCTGATTAATGCATAATGACAATGTAATGCATTTACATGATGAAATATTATTCGGTTGTTATGAAAAATGAAATTATTGCTGCCAGCATGCACACGTGGCCTGCTCCTTCACTCTCTGGGACCCCACCCCACCCTGTTCTACAGCCATGGCTCCTGGTCATCTCCTCCCGTTCATTGTATCTGACGTATCTAGCCTGGTGGAATTTGCCAGACACCATGTGTCTCTTGGCTTGAATCTAATCACAGAGGCACAGCAAAGACACTCAGGGATGTATCTAAGCTATCGAGAGGTTCCAGAAATGTTGCATGGGGAGGGGGCAGGACATGCAGTATTCTGGAAGATAATGCTGACATGGTCAGATTTTATTTCAGCCTTATAAGAATCATTTCCTATTATCAAACTCCGGGCTGAAGTCAAGGAATAGATGCAAACAAACAACAAGAATACAAAGAATCAAGGAAATGAAGAGTTGGTCCTCTCAGGAAACCAAACAGATTGACAGACCTTTGGCCAAATTAAAAAACTGAGAGAGAAAATTCAAATTAATAAACTTTGAGAAGAAAAGGAAGATATTACCATGTACCCTGAGGAAATTTAGAAAATCATGTGTACTTTAAAATCTGTATTCTGCAGCATACCTGTGATCTGATGGGAGGAAACGGGGAGGTGGGGGCTCTGATTAGTGGATAGGGAGGAAGATAAATACAGAAGGAAAGGAGGAAACCAGCAGTAAGGGTGTCTTAAAAAGTCCTAAGCAATTATACAATAAATTATCTACCAAAAATGCCTACAACTATGCAAGTCAGTGTATAAATAAATGTATAGTTTCAATGAGATTTTCCTGTCTGGGCTGACAATGCTCCCCCAACAAGCCATAGGCCATCTCAAAAATACAAGACCCACAAAAACCAGCAGGTGACTTAATGGACAACAAGGCCATTGATTTGCAAGAGAGTGGGGAGAAGTATATCACTGGGTTTGGAGGGAGAAAAAGGAAAAGGGGAAATGATGTAATTATATTATAATCTTAATTTTTTAAAATTCTGTATTTCACCAAACCAGAACTCCTAAAGAAAATAATGAATTTCTTGATTTATACAACCCTACTAATGTTAAATCAATATGAAACAAACAATTTAAACAGACCCAAAACCCCTAGTAAAATTGAAGCAGTAATTAAGAATCTCCCAAACAACAGCAAAAAGAGTCCAGGACCAGATAGGTTCAGTGCAGAATTCTACCAGGCCTTCAAAGAACTACCAGCAATAGTAATTTTCAAATTCTTCTGCAAAATAAAAATGGAAGGGACAGTTCTTATTCTTGTCATGAGGTCACTACACCCTCATACCAAAAATCACACAAAGAACCAACAATAAAAGAAAATTGCAGAGCAATATCTTTTGTGAAAACACATGCAAAATGTCTCAATAAGATACTTGCTGAACTCAAGAAAACATCAAAAAGAGTATCCACCATGATCAAGTTGGCTTCATCCCACAGATGCAGGGATGGTTCAACATATAGAAATCAATAAACTTAATCCACTACATAAAAAACTGAAATATGAAAAAATGATCATCTCTTTGGATGCAAAAAAGGCCTTTGACAAAATACAAAGTCAATGCATAATTAAAAGTCCTGGAGAATAAAGAGATACAAGGGACATATCCCAATATAATAAAGGCAAGTCATAGCCAGCATCATGCTGAGTGGAGAGAAACTCAAAGCATTTGCAAATCAGAAACAAGATAAGGATGTTCGCTTTCTCCACATCTATTCAACTTAGTAATTGAAATCTAAGCTAAAGCAATAAGACAACTGAAGGAGATAAAGGGATACAGTAGGAAAGGAAGAATTCGGAGTATCCTTTTGCAGGTGGTATGACTTTATATGTAAAAGACCCTACTGATTCTGCCAGGGGACTCCTACAGCTGAGTAACACCTTCAGTAAAGTAGCAGGATACATTAACACAAACACCAGTAGCCTTCCTATATACAGATGACAAATACACTAGGAAAGGAATCAGGGAAACCATACCTTTCACAAGAGCCTCAAAAATATTTTGGGATTACTCCAACTTAGCAAGTGAAAAACTTGTATAATAAGAACCTTAATGTTGAAGGAAAAAAATTGAAGGTGACACCAAAAGATAGAAAAACCTCCCATGTTTGTGACTCAGTTGGATTAATATTGTAAAGATGGCCATCCTACAAAAACGTAATCTACAGATTCAGCAAGATCTCCACCAAAATTCCAACACAATTCTTAACAGAACTTGAAAAACACTCTTCAATAAGGGAATACAAAGACAAAACAAAAACAAACAAACAAACAAAAAACCCACAGGAGAGTTAAATCAGTCCTGAAGAGAAAACAAAAGCAAAACTTCTGGAGGTATCACCCTCTTGGATTTCAGGTTGTATTTCAGAGTTATAGTAATAAGTCACATACAAATAAGTCACACATGTTGATCAGTTGAATAAATTGAAGACCTAGACCTAATTCTGCATACCTACAGACACCTGGTATTTTGACAAAGAAGTCAGATACACAGTGGAGAAAATGCACCATCTTCTACAAATGTTGCTGGTGAAACTGGATGGTTGCATATAGAGTAATGTTAATAAGTCCACATTTATTAACTTGTATTAAAATCGACTCCATGTGGGTCAAGGACCTCAACCTAAGACCAGATACACTGAACCTGATGAAATACCAAGTGGGGAATAGGAATAGGCTTGAACTCACTGAGCAGGAAAAGACTTTCTGAACGGAAACCAATAGCAGAGTCACTATGACCAACTGTTAAAAAATAAGATCCTATAGAGCTAAAACGCTTCTGGACAGCAAAAGACACCATCATTTAAGCAAAGAAGCAGCCTACAGAATAAGAAAAAATATACCAATTACACATCTAATTACAGATTAGTGTAAAGAATATATAAAGAACTGAAACAAATTGAATATCAAGAAAACAATCTCCCCACAAAAAAAAAAAAAAAAAAAGACTAAACAGAGAATTCCCGAAGGTTAGACACAAACAACTGAGAAACAGTTAAGGAAATAGTCGACATCCTTAGCCATCAGGGAAATTAAAATTAAAAACACTTTGAGATTCTTTTCTTATCCCAGTCAGAATGGCAAGGTCAATAAAAGAAAAAACAGTATGTGCTGGCGTAGTTGAAGGGAAAGGGGAAAGTTTACCCACTGTTGGTGTGAATGCAAACTGAGACATCCCCTATGGAAATCAGTGTGGAGGATCCTCAGAAAGCTGAGAATTGATCTATCTCAAGATCCAGCTATAAAACTCCTGGAAATATACCCAAAGGACTCTACATCTTTTTATGGGGGCACATGCTCATCCAGGTTGATTGTTGCTCTATTCATAATAGACTGAAATTGGACTCAGTCAATCAGCTGAATGGGTGAGGAAAATGTGGCACATTTACACAATGCAGTGTTATTCAGCTGTTAAGAAAAATATAATTATGAAATTTTCAGGAAAATGGATGGAACTAGAAACAGTCATCCTGAGTAAGGTAACCTAGATCCAGAAAAACAGACTTTGCATGTTTTCTCTTGTGGATATTGGCTGTGTGTGGTTTTGACACAAATACCACAAAATTTAAGTAGCGAGTAAGGGACCTAAGGGGAGGAAATCACCTTCCAAGAAAGGGGAAATAGAGTAAGGATTTATTAAGAGATGAAAGGGAACTTAGAATAAAAGGATTAAATGGGGAGGGAGATGGTCACAATGTCATACCTCTAGCTATGGCGCTATTGGCAGTTACTAGCTGCCAGGAGAGGAAGAGTCTGTCTTCTTAAAGCTATGGTCCTTGGTAGGTTGACCGTGATGCAGTGGAAAGCCGCATATCAAAAGTATATGGGAACACAATCTTGTACTTGATGTTTTGTTTTGTTTTTTCAAGACAGGTACAAAGTTAGGAGTTGAGTCTGGGAGGAGTTAGAAAAGATGGGCCAATATGATCAAAATACATCGTATGATGTTTTCCAAGAACTAATAAAAAAAATGAGAAAATGAGTTGGTGAGATGTCTCAGCAGTTAAGAGCACTTGCTGCTCTTGCAGAGGACCTGAGTTTGGTTCCCAGCACCCAGGTCAGGTGGTCCACGACTGTGTACAGCTTCATCTCCAGGGCAGCTGATGCCCTCTCCTGGCTTCTGAGAGCACTTCCATATATATGTGGCATATCCCAGCCATACACACACACGCACACGGACACATGCACACACAACTTTTTAAATACACTTTTTTAAAGGAGAAAAACAAAGAAAATGCAGGAATTTGAGAACCACCCCAAATCTTCAGAGCCATAGCTGGCTTCAGAAAATTCAGGACATTTTGAAACCCTCTAGCAGAGGAAGTGGCTTAAGACAAGTCTTTGTTCACTGCCCCATCTCAGCACATACAGCCTAAACAGACAAGGCAGTTGGTATATCATCCCTTAGTCTCCTTGCTTTCGTGTGACTACCAGGTGAGCATCTCCAGGACACCAGACCAGGTGTGCCGCAAACCACCCACAATTTTCCAAAGATGCTGGCTTCATTTTGCCTATACCTTACCTTCTCCTCAGAGCTGCACACTGTGCCGAGAAATGCCAAGCCCCTGAGAAAGCTAAGGGTCAGCGTAGCAGCCCTAGAAAGCCCTCCCTGCCTTCTGTATCTTTGGGTGACAACGAGAAACCTTTGCAAGGAATCCACGGCAGGCATCCCCACTTTCCTGTACAAACTCATGGTGGAAGCCACATATGAAAGATCGAACCCTGTGACCATGTCATTCTCTAAGTGAGAACTCGGGCCAGGGCTCAGAGGTAGAGAGGAGAATACAGGGTGGCTGACGTTTAAGTAATGCCGTTCCTTCTCCGTTTTTTTCATCTAGCTCAATGACTCCGCCAAGCAACTCATTGAGATGGACAAGCTGTGCCCTGCCGCTGCCGCCACTGCATGCAACCATGACGCCCTCCTGCCCTCCGACCCCAGCACATTAGCCAGCGTGGCCTCAGGTCCCACCCTAAGTAGCTCAGGGGCAGTCAGTGCCTTTCAACGGCGTGTGGACAGCAAGAAGAATGCCAAGAAGCGCCACTCTTTCACTGCGCTCAGTGTGACCCACAAGTCCTCCCAGGCGGCCAGCCACAGGCACTCCATGGAAATTAGCGCTCCGGTGCTGATCAGCTCCAGCGACCCACGTGCTGCAGCCAGGATTGGGGAGCTGGCCCATCTGTCCTGCGCCGTCCCCTCCCAGGTAATTCCTAGGGCCCAGAGCTCTGTCCATGATTTCCGCGGGTCCTATTCTACCTTCTGAATTCCTGAACTGTTCTAAAGGAAGCAACACCAGAACAGCTGAGGGTGACCGAGGCCGCTCCTCGTGGCCAACCGCCTGGCATCAAGAGCCCTGTAAATATATGTGTGTTGGCTCCTGGGTTGTGAGGTAATAGCCAGCGGTTCCAGGACACAGCACTGGAGTTAGCATCCATCGTCTAGGAAACCCCTCACTCACTGATACTCAGCATGCTTGCTCAGGGAGGAGTCTTGGGTGGGACATTCTGAGGAGCACTATGAGCTGAGAACCAGAATTAGCTGTACAGCTTAGTCCTTTCCTGCGGTTACTGCTATAGTTCCCTCTATTTCTAAATGTCACTTTTTTTTTTTTTTACATTTCCGCTAGTCTGTTTGTAGACTTCAGTAGCCAAAGTAAGATGCGTGAAGAACACAGAGTAATAATTACCTGCAACTCTGAGAAACCTGTCCACCTGGGAAGGTGTCTCCTTCATAAAGGCCAGGAAGGGAGGAGGGGGTCTCTCCTGTGTCATTAAGTTTCCACTGAGACCGAGGAGAAGGGAATGTGCCTCCTGGAGGTGTGGGCCACGGTCCTTCCCAGCTCAGCATACTACAGGATAAGGCCCCTGTGCAGTTAGAGTCGGGGAGGGCCAGTTCCTGCCCACTCTGCACCTCCTTACCCCAAGGTCCATCTGCCAGCCCTGCTTTAGTTTCTCTCCAGGGTCACCTATAACCTCTGGGCGTGCTTCCAAAGAATGGCACCAGTATATAGGCTAGACTGAGGAAAGAGCCAGTAAGTATCTGGCTTTATTTTCCAAAGTTCCAGTTGACTTGGCTAAATTTATATGGAGAATCATCTCTTAAAATGGGCTGGAGAGATGACTCAGCAGTAAGATCACTCGCTGCTCTTGCAGAGGACCCCGGTTCAGTTCTTAACACCCACATGGCAGTTCACAGCGATCTGTAGCTCCAGTTCCAGGGGATCCATGCCTTCTTCTGACCTCCATGGGCACCAGATAAACACATGGTGCACATACATACATACAAGCAAAACAACACAACACACAAAATGAAATAAAACATCATTTTTTTTTGAGGCAGAATTTCACTATGTAGCTCTGGCTGACCCGAAACTCACTATGTAGACTAGACTGACTTTGAACTTGAAGAGATCCACCTGCCTCTGCCTATCACGTTCAAGACAGAAGCTGCCACAGTTGGCTTCCAGTTGATCTTAACAAATAAAATTAAAACACTGAACTTCAGGAGAATTATAGTTTTGGTAGATATGCTGCATCTGCTTAAAACTGCAGCTGCACATCATATATGTTATATACATTTGCACACCTGTGTATGCATGTCCATACCACACACACACACACACACACACACACACCCCTACACGGTGCCCTGCACTTTTCCCAGCATAAACACCAGTGTCGGTGTCATCGCAAGCAGAGGCCATGGTTTGCAGCGGACACTATGGTGTCTGTAGTGTTTGCTGACCGTGGCTTATGTGCTCCTCGGCCCCACCCATTTTGCTCAGGAAGCAAACAGTGCTTAGGCCTGGGTCCAGTTTGTTTTCTGATGCTGTGATCAATGCTGTGATCGACGCCGTGACAAAAGCAACGTGGGGAAAGAAAAGGTTTGTTTGGCTTCCGCTTCCAGGTCACAGCCCACTGTAGAAGGAAATCAGGGCAGAAGCACAAGCAGGAACTGACAGAGGAATTATAAGGGAACTCTGCTTACTGACTTGTTCACTGGCTCTCTCTCCAGCTCATTCCCAGTTCAGGCTCAGCTGTCTTCTTATATAGCCCAGGCCCACCCACCTAGGGATGGTACTGCCCACCGAGGGCTAGCTCCTCCCACATCGGTCATTATTAAGACAATCTCTTATAGACATAGCCACAGGCAGGATGATCAAGGTAATTTTTCCACTGAGAATCCTCCTTCCCATGTGATTCTAGGTTGTGTCAGGTTGACAATAAAAAAATAAGTGAACCAATTACAAAAATAGTACAGGGCTATTGGCACGTTTACGATAAAAGAGGTGATGTTACCTGGCCTGACCCTTGGCCCCACCACCTTCATTAAATAATCTCTTCAGGCTGTTGATAGGTGTTTTGTATTTTTAAGTTTCTATGAGGGACATAGCAACTGGTAGCAGCCATCTCTGCTCCCCAAACAATTGTGTGCCAACACCGACATCATGAGCAGAGAGGAAAGGACAGCTTGCTGCTTCGGACTCTACAGTCTACACTAGGAAGCTCAGCTTTGACCCACAGTGCCTGAGCTTTATGCCCCACCCCCACCCCTCGCAGCCTGCGTATCTGTTCAGACTATAACTCAGGACACCTTAGACTTGATCCTTGGGTCCTGGGAGGATGGGGAAGGGAGAGGACAAGGTTATCAAATGGGATCCGCACAGAGTCACAGGTATGTATCACCCTCTCCTGCCTCCAGGACATGGCCATGGGCTTTTAGGTTCAGAAGTCCTTTAGGATCATGGTTTCTTCCAAAAATTGACATGGTTATTGATGCTGATGAAATCTGAACCGCCTCTGACCACTGGATTGTAGTCCAGAGGACAGGCCACACGGGCTTTCTCCTCTAGAAACATAACCAGCTAGTGAATGTCTTGTACATGAAACAATGCGGTGCATAAAATTCAGCTTGCCCTTCTCTGAGAGGACAGCGCCTGTCACTCGCAGCTCATGGTGAGCTCCGGGTCCATCTCATGGCTATGGAGAGGGCGCAGCTGTGAAATGACCAGCCTAGGCCTCCCAGAGCACAGGTTCAGGCAGAAGCTCAGATGGCCATCCTGCTCATATCTGGACCCTGAAGAATTCTTCCCACCCTCGGTAGAGGTCAGAGGACCGCTGCTCTGTGTGAATAATGGAGTCACGTGTCAGCTTCTGCTGGGGGCAGAAGTCTGTCAGCCAAACTATTGAGGTAAAAAGCTATTTGGGCTAACTCTACTATTAAGAGTCCAGAGGCTTTCTTAGTGACTGCCATTTCGACTGGGGTGAGATAGAATCTTAATTCATCTTTCATTTGCATTTTGCTGATGGCTAGTGATGTTGCACGTTTCCTTCATGTGTTTATTGGCCGTTTATATAGTACTTCATCTTTTCAGAACAGCCTGTTCATCTCATTTTCCTATTTATTGAGTAGGTTATTTGATTTCTTGGTATTTGGTTATTTTTTTTTAGTTTTTTGTATATTCTAGCCCAGATATTAATCTTGTCAGATTTGTCATTGGAAAAGATTTTCACAAATTTTGGCAAGGATATGGAGAAAATACAACTCTTATATTTGACTGATGGAAATTTAAATTAGTTCAACCACTATGTAAGTCAGCATGGAGTCACCAATAGTAGCAATAATAGTAATAATAATAATAATAATAATGAATGATACAAAAACTGTCACATTATCCAGCTATCCCACTTCTGAGTATTTGCCAGAATGTATCAAAAAGATACTTGAACGAGCATCCATGTTCATTGCTGCACTATTCACAGATAGAACTGTCTTATATGTCCATCAACAGATAAATAAAGACAGTGTGGAATATGTACATATATATATATATATATATATATATATATAATGGAATTTTATCCACATGGATGAAATTGCACTTTTTTCAGGGAAATGAATGCAACTGGAGAGAGTGGTATTAGCAAATTATGTCAGATTCAGATAATATTGCACATTTCATATCACTAGTATATCCTAGGTTATATATATATAATATTTATATGTATTATATATATTATATGTGTACATATGTTGTATATGTGACATAAAGTACAAGTGGACATGTAGGGATGGAAGGGATTAATAAGAAGGATGGAAAACAAAAGGGAAAATAGGCAGTTACAGGGGGAAACATGATCAAAAATACATAATATCCTTGCATGAAGATGTCCTTATGTGATCTGGTACTGCACATAATAAATATATACTAATTTAAAAGACTTTCATATGTTTGCTTTCAAAATTATTTGGATAAGACTGGGAAATGATTAACTCTGTCTGGAGTATTATTAAGTCCTTTCTAGAAAACCTTTGCTGGCCCCTGTGCAGTGTGCTTTTTGGAATAAAAATACGGCAACAGTACAGTGGCTAAAACTTTTCTGCAGGGGTTCATGTCGTATCTGCCCATGTTTCACTGAACAAACTGAATCCCACAGCCCCAACCTACTTGAGGACAGAGATTCAGAGTCCGCATGACACCCCTTTCCCACATCCCACACTGATGTATAAGCCTTTACATTGAACACAGAGATTAGGAACTGAAGGTACGTTTGTCTGCAGCAGGTGGCATGAGACATGTCACTTGTAAACCGTACAGCCATTTTTTTTCTCTCTAATGGCCCTCCAGTGCTGCCTGTGTGCTTCTCCTGGGTCTGTGGGACTAAGTGACAGCATTGTGGAGGCCCCTGCCTGGTCCCAGAAATGGCCTCACAGGGCCCAACTCCCATCTAGCCATCCAGCTAGGGGCAAGTCCTTCAGTGCATCCCATTCACAGCCCCCACTTCCCATCCCACCACCTCCCCATCCCCCACCCCTGCTCCAGGGATCCCAGCTGCCAACACATAGACTCCAGATAAGCGACCCCTGGAGATGGAAGAAATGTCCCTTAATATTGATGCAACTGGGAAGGTGTTTGGAGATCACCGGGGAGAATCAAAAAATCATTGCTCAAGCATCCTGTGCCTCAGAAGGGAACTGAACTCTGCCTGGAGTCTGAGTCTTATCTCTGCTGCTAGGTTGATGGGTACAAGCTGGAGGAGGTTCTAGGTAAGAGCTGATGACTGACAGTCATGGCTGCCCCAGGCCTGCTGCTGAGGGTGCCTCACCGTCAAATGCTTATCAGCCCTGCTGCCCCTGGCTCTCCACCCACCTGCAAAGCTCCAACTGCCTGCAAGGCTGAGAACGTGGCTTAATTTTAGAAAG